GAGTTCTGCCATTCAGCCAGTTCTCAATCCACCTCACCGACCACTCATCCAGCCCACACTTCCTGAGCTTCCCTAGGAGGATGTTATGGGAGACCATGTCGAAAGCCTTGCTGAAGTCTAGGTAGACAACATCCACAGCTCTCCCTTCATCTACCCAGTAATTTAGTAATACCAAAACTTTTTATAATTGAATAACAAGCCTTGAAAAGTCTACATAGACATCACAGTTTGATCTTTTCATATCAGATCTTAATAAATGAGATATCTGAATAAGAAAATAATTTTGACAAATATGTGACCTACTTCAAATAGCAGCTTTGTCAATGTCACATAAAGGAACATTCCTGCAGCAGAATAAATTTTAACTCTAGGAATGCAACATAACCAGGAATTTTAGGCCACACCTCTGAACCAAGTTTCTAATACTTTCTAACAGCCAAATTAATATGCTGAATATCTTGCTTCTCTTGAAATAGAAAAATAAAACTGCAAGCTTTTCTCTAAGTGTAGGGAGTGTAGGGAAGTTTTTGCTTCAGAAAAATCGGGCTTGTGAGACAAAACAATTTGATCAGATGTTTACTTTAAAGAAAGATCTGAAGACACTTCTAGAAGAAACCTAAGGTGCAACTCAAATATTACTTTATCATTCTAGAAGAGAAAATATTACAGTCCATATAGGAAAGACTGAATTCTTGAATTGTACATTCTGGGTTGTTCTAAGGAACAATATAGCCTTCTTAGATGAATAAAATAACGCTACTCAAAGTCAGAAAACAAGACATGTAAAAAGAGTAAGGGCTACATTAAGGTCCTACAGTGGAAACAGACTTTGTAACTAAGAGAAAAACTCAGTAAATAACTTTAGGTACTACAACAAGATGAGAGAAAAACTGTATGCTCTTTTACAATGAATGGTATACAGAATTTATTGAAAATATAAAATTTTCATGGACTGAAAATAAACATTGCAATGAGATTGCCTACAGACAACTGCTTACATGCATCTGAGTACAGATCTATTTTCTGTTCTGAAACAGAACAAGAATATCTGCAGAACTGTCTTTAATTTCACTATCCAATTATACTCAGTACAAGAAGACATAATGAAGTTAATATGGGTTAGAGAAAGACCCATTATTTTGACTGATTAAGCAGAAATGACAAATAAAATAATCCAGAATCACTATTCAGCTGCAGTGTTGATCGTGCCAAGCTGACATTATGAAGATGGCCATGATTTTGCTGCCTTCAATCTTTAAAATTTACAGTTTCAAAAGAACTTCGTGGATGCATACAACAAGGCATAAAGCTATGCCATTAGAAAGGCACATCCCTGAAAGCCCAGACTGCCCTCTTCTGGAGTGAATAATCTTGCACATCCAGTGGTCCTTGTTCACGGTCAAAGTTATATGAGGATCCTCTCTCAAACGAAACCATCACCTGATTATGAGGTCTTTAATTTTTTGTTTGTGTTATCATACAAAAAGGCTACCAAACGTGTATTCAGATGATCAAGAAAATGACTAGAACCTTGTTATGACAAAGTTACATACAGTAATGACCTCCTTGTGCAATGGAGCAGACTCATGTTCAGTATAGACAGTTTAATGGTAGTAGCTGATGTTATTTGGATCCACTGACCTCCAACTTGAGGTGAAATGCAATGCTATAAAAGCATGATCATTCACTCTGAAACTGAGAACACTTCTATGAAGTCAATGTTCTTGCTGCAAATAAAGCTGTGAAAATAGGTCATGCCAAATCTTTATTCACAGTCCGCCCTATGTACACTATAGCTAGAGTTTCCATCAACTTGTTGCAGGTTCTTCCACCAATCAAAGTTCAAAACAAATAACAAAATCTTTATCTTTACATTTTAGTTGCAGCAACCTGATATTAAGGTATCTTCTGCCATTCATGCAAATAACATACATGGTTTTGTTTCCACTACAAGGCCATCTGAACCCAAAGCCAAGCACATACTTACCATTATATGTGGACTATTCTCCAGCTAATTAATCAGAAAATGTCATATACTGTCAGTCGGATATTACAGAGCTGTGGTAGAGTTCAGTGGTTCCCCCCTTGATAGAAACACACTTCTTGAAAATTGGGATCCCTGTTTCAAATCAGGGGATGTAGGGAATTAGCAAACAACAAGAGTAAAACTGTGATCCCCAAATATAAAAAGGAACTTCATCTAATCCACCAAAAGTTACAAAAGACTGATTCTTCTTTGGTAGCAGACTATTGAGGTAGAGGTAAAATGATGAAGATTTTAGAATTTGAATAATTATTTTGTTATATTCATCTCCTACTTTCATCTGACTGATAATAAATCATTGCAAGTCTCCTGAAGAAAACATAAAAAGCACTGAAATTAAGTAGGGAAACACTAATGCCTTATTTAGATAGCAGTTCCTGATTCAGAGATCCTGTAAAAAGAATTTTGATTGTTTCAAAGAAGGCAACAGAACTATTAGTTGCAGTTACCATGAAAATGGGTTTCTTCTGTATATTGTTTCTTTCTGGTCAGCCAAAAGACCCTTGACCTCAATAAGCATGATAAAATGATTTGTTGCTTATTGTTGATGATGCTTCTTAAAGAAAAAAAAAAGGAGACACAGATAAATGCCCAAGAACATAATATAGAAGGAAACACTCAAATGCGCACAAATCCTCAATTATTATTGAACCAAACATTCTTTTAAGGTGCAGATCTGCAAATTTTCAGAACAAGTTGGCAATTCAGATGATTATAATCAAGACATATGATGAACTGTAATTGTTGTCACTGTAGATCTGGAAAAGGGACAAGGAACCTTTCAGTGAAACAACAGCTAGCTAAAGCAGAAAAAAAGCTGTGGCAGAGCACTGCTTGTGCTACTCCTTGCTGACCGTTATTATTCAAGGTTCAGCCTTTAACAATGTAGGTAAGAGACACACCTCAGACTTTTCCAAGAGAGAGACAATTTTGATAAGTTCTTTCTGGATTTTGCTATTCTCTTTACACGTTAGTACTCCTTGTCTCTTGAAGAATTACAGTGCATCACTTATCATTAAGGAGTCAAAAGGACCTTCATGAGCAAAATAAAATGTTGGGTTTTTTTTTATTCAGACTAAGATCATGTCTAATCTGTGATCCTATATATTACTTAAATAATTCTAGCACAGAAGCTATCGGGTGGAGGGGGAAATGCACTTTTACTATAATTATTTCATTTACAGATGGTAAATTAATTATTTACTTATGGTAAACTGTACTCTTGAGAAACTTGTAGAAGATGCTCAGAATGTCAGAACCAGTCATTTCTCCTTTGTTATTTTTTTCTTAGCTTTCTAGGCAGAGACAAGAGGAAATTCAGCTTCCACTCAAACCGTAAATCAAATCATCCACAGTTCTAATAAGCATGAGATTATAGTTCCAATTTCAGACTAAATGAAATGCAGTGATTAAAAGTTACTGAGAGCAGTCCATTGTAAATTTAATGAAAGATAAAAGTAAAGCAAACCCAGATATTACGAAGAACTTAAGCAGAACTATTCAACAGCAGAAATCTGGAGTTCATTATCTAACTCCAATGCAAGTTCTTTCTGTTTTCTTGGTTTTGCTTTTAAACATCAAGACATATTTAGCATCTTTCAACTACCCAGAATAAAACTGTGATCACCAAAGAGAATTTACAGTAGAAAAACCAATAACAACAAAACCCACCTCAAAACCTAAGGAATCAAATGACCCCAGACCTAGGAATAAAAGATACTATTCAAATTAATTATTTCCAGTTAGGCTTGAAAAGATTTGCTATATCCATGAATATAAGCACTTTCTTTTAATTTCAAAGATAATGACACAGCAAGTCCAAGGAAAACATCCTGAATAATTTCTGATCATTTTAACTCTTTCTTCATCATAACAGATAGGATATCTCACTCAACTTATTTCACAACAGTTTGTAAAATATAGTCTTTCTTTGATCTAGCTATGATATTTTTTTTATCATTTAAAAGCAAGTTTTCAGAATTTTCAAACCCTAACAATTAAAAATGTAGAGGATTCATCTCATTTGTAGACCAATGCTACAGAAGCCAACTGATAAGTTCATACTGAATTTTAACATTTGTATTACTTGCTTTTATAGTAATCTACTTCTATTTATATCTTAAATACAGTATCCCTTTAAAAGAAGCAACTCCATCTACAGATCACATAAAGTAGCTATGAAAGACATTTGTTTCAATACATCAGCTTTCTCAAATACTATGCTTCTCTGCTACAAGTTTAGCCTAAATAAAGCAACTTGCATATGAAATTTGAAGGGACAGAAGTAACTAAATGCATGGTTTACTGACACTTTCTTGCTCCTGAAGTTTTGATCTGCGAAGAAGGAAATATTTTAATCCTTGTTTAAAAATTTTCATTATATAAACCCCTATACACAGATAAAACCTTCACAGTTACAATCTCAATATCACTCTATTCAATTCTTATCATCAGAGCAAATATGTTAAAGATTTGCTTTAACGAATCCCATTATTACCGCAGAAACAATGTCAGGTTACTTAGAAATCTTCCCCTCCTCATCTTTACTGATGGTTACATAATAATTTCTCATAACATTTTTGCAACTTAAAATTCATATTGAAATATGCTGACCACACTATGATGAAAGCAGATGTGTACCTGAATCATCATAATTTCATAAACTACAATATCTGATTTCCAGGCATTTCTGTAAAACAAAGTTTGGTTTGTTCAAACTATAACATTCAAGAAAAAGTATATTTTAATATTATAGGTTATGAAATACGGGAACCCTTTGTTGAGCAGCAGAAAAAAAAATCAGGAAGAATTTTGTGTATTTTTGCTGAATGTATTTCACTACCAAAGACAATAGCAATTCCAACTTAAACCCGTAGAGGTATGATTTGATAAAGCTTTGTTGATAAGCAAAGTAAGCTTTTTTTTTCTATACCTGGAAGTTCTCTCTCTTCCACACTGTATTCCAGAGATCCAAAGGAATAATTAGCTGGACTGATTGCAGGAGTAGAAATAAAACTTGTACAGCCAATGGATGAGTTGATTTCAAAATAATTGTGGCTGTGATTCATTCGGTGAAATTCCAGAGAAGATACTATTGATGTGCGCTGCTTGGGCTACAAGAAAAATAGAAGTTTGAAGTGAAAATTACAGACTTTTTTATAGTTTTCATTACTTGACATTTAATGAATTTACCTAGGGTTTCTCTCTTTTTAGTGTTTTAATTTGGCTCAAAATTTATACTAGTAAAAATAATTTCATATGACAAGCTGTGGTGTTTAGAGATAATTTCCTTCCAAAATTTGGATTAATCTTTATTATAAAAAATGCATGTCTTTATGCTAATCAATTTAATTCAAAATAAAATAGGGTTTTGCAGCCTTGTATACAATAATTGCAATCATCTTTTGATAAGAAAGGGAACTCTTCACCAGCTGCACTGCTGGGTACATCTTGCAAAACAATTAGACTGCTGATGCCTGTATAATGAAATTTACAAAATAACACCAAGCACTCATCACTCGAAAGGAACCCTCCACTGTTTATTCAATTTATGAAGGGCTGCCTTAAATATTCAAAGACTGAAATGTCTAAAAGCTTAAGGGAAAAGTGTGACCTTAAAAAACACACATGAAAACCAAACTTCCTTCATGAGTTTTCACGGAATAGTGAAAAACTTCAAACTACTTTGTATCAAACATTTACTTTTGAAGTGAACCTCTTCATTGACCCCGCTTAATGGCTGTGCTTTGGATTGCAGAGCAGCTTCAGAACATGAGAAACTCTTTCCTTTAGGGTGGATCTACGCCATAGGGTACATTACAGGATTGTACAAAATGTGCTCCAACTTCTTATGGCCTTTTGACCATAGGACCACACTAATGCTAGCCCAAATTAAAACCAATGAAATCTGTATAGCGTGATCATCCAGTCAGCAACAATTTTTTCACTACACAGATCTGTTCCCATTGCACTGCACCACTTTTTAATATAGACATAACCTCAGTGCTTGATGTCATGGACTGTAAGCCACAGACCACTGATGGTTTGTAACATCATGCTAAATAGTCTGTTGCAGCACTCATCTGGCTCCATACTCAAAATCTCCTATCCCCACGATGCTCCTTGTTGCTTCAAGACCAATGACCTGAAACATTAAATGCCTCCTTCCAAAAGAGAGGAGGCTCTGCATCCAGGTGTATAGCTGTCTGTATATTTATTTCACGGCAATGAAAAACATGTTAGGAACTGCTGCCTTAGATAGCTAAAGCTGGGAAAAGTAAACAGAAAAAGAGAGTAAAGGGTGCTTTAACTCTTCTTGCTTTAGCATGTCAGGCTTAACAGGTCAGAATACTTGTAAAGGTCAAGAATTTGCTACTTGTTAGTGTCAAGACCAAATTATTGCCCTGGGAGCAGTAAGATCTTCCTTAGACCATGAAGCTATTCACCATCCCTTACTTAGAACTACCTGTTAAAAAACAATCTATCCCAGTGGACTAATTTTCAATTTTGTTTGTGCTCTGTTTCATTTTTAGATTATGAGCCCTGCAACGTTTGCATTACAAATACAGAACTACAGACTGTTTTCACTAAAAATTCACTCTTTCTATAGGAATGTCAGACAAAAACTTAGATAGGTTTGCTTAATGTTGGTTGGTTGTTAAAGTTGTGTTGGGCACCATGGAATTAACTGTGTCCTCTTAAAACTGAGAAAAATTACAAAGGGTAAATTTGGGCATTCATCTGGAACTCATCTACGGTCTATTGAGGGGATTTACTTTCTTTAATAATTAAAACCAGCTTCTCCTTTGAAAGGCTGACTCTTAGGGCTAGTAATTTCATGGGAGAGTTCAATGAACAGGGACAGACTTCAACATCAAGCAGTCTGGTTAAAAGTCATTGTTTGGGACCTAAGCCAAAATAATTCTCTGATCAGACCAAAAATATTCATGTGTACTAATTAAACCTAAACTGCACACTTTTGCTAGACAACAAATTCATCAATGACTTAATTATTTCTAAAACTGAAAAAGATCTCTCGTCATTTAGAAACATGTTCCTGGCCCTCTCCCAAGCAATTCTGTCTCTGCGGTTTTGCAGGAATTCAGCTTCTGAGTTGAAAAGGTGACACTTCAAGTAACATGATGTGCAGGGGCTCTGATTGTTCCAAAACTGAGACTGTTTCTACCTAAAAAGGCAGCTGGGACAGTCCAGCTCAATATTCCTAAGCAGTGTCAAAAACTGGCCTTTGTCCAGTCAGGTCTCCAGCCACTGTTTCAACTGCGTGCCCCTTTCTTAGAGGCAGAATAGCAGTATCTGATGCATCATACAGCCTTTTACTAACTTATGGATGATCAGCTGTTTCACTACAACTTTGTGTAGTATTACGAGCTACTGTAACATCTTTTAAAAGTTTCACAAAAATACCTACAATGTCTTGGTGGGAGATCAAAAGAGGGGGCAAGCAAACCAAAAAAACCCCAAACTGTTCTGAAGCATTTTTAAAGACCAGTTTCATTTGCAAATGCTCACAGATCCTGAAAATGTATTCATCAATAAACAGCTATGATTTGCTCTTTAGGCATGGGTTAATGATATAAAAGAAGTCTAGAATGATTTTCAAAGATGATTATGGAAGCTAGAAACACGTTTTGTCTGTTCGTGCTAACATGCAACCATCTGCTGACCTGGGTGATATAAAATACCTCCTTTATTATTTCGGGCTTTGACATTATTAATTTAGACAAACATATCTCAGTTTAATATATTTTTCCAATCTAAGGATTCTGTACAGAACTTCATGTAGCCTCTAGTGCTCTACAGCATAACACTTCTTCTATATTGTTTGGAGTTAACAAGGTCCACCTGTCAATATATGCCAATCATTTTTCTACATAATTACATGGGAATCTGAGCTTTTGTAACTTACTACAGGAGCCTTTTGCACCTTTTCTGGGTCCTGTAAAATGTTATGTTGTTAAAGTTTTCTAATTGTTCATTAATATATGCTAAGAGAGATGCAATAAACCAGTTTGTTTACTGCATCCCTCTGTCTATGTCTCTCTAAAGTACAGTTTGCACAAAACCTGTGGAAAAAAGTGCTTTTTTTCCTACAGTTAGGATTAAATTCAGTTCCAGATTTAGGTAACTAAATATATAACATAACTATTTACATATACACTAGGTATCTAAGCTCCCATTACAGTTGATTGAGATCTAGTCAATGCAATCAATAGAGTACAGAGAACAATTCACATCACCCGGTCACCTTGGTTCCTCTGCCTTAACACAGGTATCCACTCTGTCACTGGAGATTCCCTCAGGCACCCCACCTGCCCTCCAGATGCCATCCAGAAGAGTGCAGGTCTACCCTATGTATGCCTTATATCATAGAATCACAGAATCCTAGAATCCTAGAATCATAGGTTAGAAGAGCTCTCCAAGATGATCAAGTCCAACCATCCACCCAACACCACCATGCCTACTAAACCATGTCCTGAAGTGCCACATCTACACGTTTTTTGAACACCTCTAGGGATGGTGACTCAACCACCTCCCCGGGCAGCCTGTTACAATGTCTGACCACTCTTCCAGTAAAGAAATTTTTCCTAATATCCAATCTAAACCTCCCCTCATGCAACTTCAGGCCATTGCCTCTCGTCCTATCGCTAGTTACCTGCGAGAAGAGACCAACACCTGCCTCACTACAACCTCCTTTCAGGTAGTTGCAAACATCAACACAGTGTCCCCTCAGCCTCCTCTTCTCCAGGCTAAACAGCCCCACTTCCTTCAGCTGCTCCTCATAAGACTGGGTGCGCCCTCACCAGGGCTGAGTACAGGGGCACGATCACGTCCCTAGTCCTGCTGCTCACACTATTCCTGATACAAGCCAGGATGCCGTTGGCCTTCTTGGCCACCTGGGCACACTGCTGGCTCATGTTCAGCCACCTGTCGACCAGTATCTCCAGTTGGTTTTACTTCTCAACATCTTAATGTAGTTGTTTTTACTTCTCAACATCTTAATTTAGTTTAAGAGCAGAAGGTAGAAATTGTACAGTCGCTGGCAACAAATATATCCCAAGTAGCCACAACAAAGACCTTACAAGATCGTGGGAATTTAAGGAAAAAAAAAAAAAAAAGAGAAAAAAAGAAAAGAAAAAAAAGAAGAGATAAATAGTTTCACCGTTTTTTAAATGTAGATCCTTTTCATTACTAAAAGCATGATGCATTTTTAAAATAAATTCATTTTTACTGGCATCATAGTGCCAAAGTCCTTGAAATTTCTGTCTGACTGATTTTTAATTTAGAGAAAGACACCTCTTGCATCCTGCTTGAGCAGCAAGTGCAGACTTCTCTACAGTAATCTCATGGCCCATCAGCATATTTCGATCATTTCACTGTTAGTGACACACTCCAGGATGACACAGACACATAGCTCTTTCCTGTAGCCTGTGGTTAGGAAGTCATGCAGTGTGACCTTAGGTACCAAATATCCATAGTGCTTTCTGTTCCTGTGGTTTTGTTCTCCTCTGTGCATGTTATACTAGCTCCTCCTTTAGGAGTCCTCCACTGGAGTACGTAACTAAAGAGCAAGGCATTGCTGCCTCCTTTCATCTTCCACCTCTGGTCTTATATTAGATGACAAATCAGACTGGGAATAAATAAGGGAAAAAACGGATATTCTCCGGTTTCCATTTTCCTTGGCTTCTACTTTCATTTTAATTGCAACCATATTGCAGCTGTGGGTGGAGGTAAGCAGTCTGGAATGCCAAAAATTGTAACACCTTTGCAGTGGTTTCCCTCTTTGACTGATGCAACCAGATTTTGAAGACACACTGTTATTCCTATCCTGGGAAAATATTGCTTGAAATGAGCTCCAAATTGTGAGAGATAAATTGGATCAGTACGAGGAAGTCTTATTGCTCAGCTGTAAAAAGTTTCTAACTGTCAAAGATGTAAAAAAGTTTTCTTTTCACTAAAACAGTTGGAAAATGGATATAAGGCCATTTTCTTCAAAAAAAGCTCAGCTTCCAGCTGTTAGCAACATTCCATTTTGACCTGCAGATTATGAAAATTGCTGATATCATTACATTCATGTATGACAAATTTTGAAGGG